CTGGGGAATTCTGGGAGTTGAAGTCCACACGTCTTAAAATGGCCAAGGTTGAGAAACACTGCTTTAGACAATTGGATCAACCTTGCAAAGAAACTCAGAAACATTTTAAAAAGTTCTATTCCTCCTTCAGCAATTTATCTCTAGCGGCCCTCTCAGGCATGCAAAAACAGGGGCTCCAAGAATCCTAAGCGTGTGCCCCCCCAGCTGTCACTCCGCTGTAATTTTTTAATGTGAGAGGAGGAGAAAATTACCATCTACATGGGAAACAATCATATCCAATTTAGAGTCGGTCCGGGTCCGATGCATTTTGGGTGGACCTCAATAAGCAAAAAGGAAGCACATCTTTTTGGTGTGAAGTAATTGCGCACCCCTGCATGAAATTTCGATTTGCCTCTGGCAACCAGACTGGTGCTTCATTACAAGAGTGAACTACACATAATGTAAAAGAGCCTGGAGCTTTTTGGTGTTTCGCAAGGCGCATTGGAAAAGGGAACATATTTGTGCATGCTGGAAACTTCTGCTTCCCATTCTGGTTTTCATTTAAACCCAGAAAAGGATTCTTGCAACATATTTGGTTCCGGTTAAGATCCAGAAATAAGCACTGGATCTAATTTGTCCACTAGATTTCATTCATTTGCCCCAAGCCTCAAAACACAAGGCATTTTGTTTTTCAGTCGAAACCATACACGTTCTTATTTCAGAAAGCTTGTTATGGAAATCACTGAGCATTGTAGGGTCAGTAAAATGACTTTTTGGAGAGACAGACCCCCTCCCCCAAAAAAGACAATTTTGGGAGATGTTGGTTTGGCCTGTCAATAGCAATAGCAACCATCTCTGATGTACACTTCTATACAATTCTTTGAGGTCCAGGAATTAAAAAAAGAAGAAAAAAGTAATTAGCATCAGCAGGATTATTCGTCCCTTCCGATGCATTTATGGCACTCCACATTTGGTTAACCAAAGCTACTAGTATCCACACCAGTGTTTCTCAACCTCGGCAACTTTAAGATGGGTGGACTTCAACTCCCAGAGTTCCCTAGCTAGCATGCTGGCTGGGGAACTCTGGGAATTGAAGCCCACCCATCTTTAAGTTGCCGAGGTTGAGAAACACTGCCCTAGACAATATGGAGTATTCTAGGTGTCTTGGACTTCAACTCCCACAATGCCCCATTGAAATAAAATCAAAATGAAATAAAGTGTACAGAAATACAAGAATATTGGCTGGCTCCCTTTATAATATAGACCAGTGTTTCTCAATCTTGGCAGCTTTAAGATGTGTGGAGTTCAGCTCCCAGCCCCAGCCCGCCACAGGGAATTCTGGGAGTTGGAGTCCACACATCATAAAGTCACCAAGGTTGAGAAACCCTGGTCTGCACTAATCATTTAACAAATGAAAGTGATGTGGTGAGAGAACCAGTTTTTGTGAAAAGTTCGTACCTGCGTATGTGGAAATATCATCGCTCACCGTAGGTGATCAGGAAATATTTGCAGGCAATCTTACAGTGCAATCCTATGCATGTTCTCTCAAGAAGCCTAGGTTCAGTGCATTTCCTCCCAATAAAATATGCACGGCTAAATGCGGCTTATATCTCCTTGTGGCTGTGAGTCAAAGCTTAGCTTATATTTTACTGTTTTCGAAACACACGGTGCAGATAAGGAGATATTTTAACAAGCGACCGAGTAGCAGCGTCTGAAATCTTGCGTTACCTTGGATGGCTCTTCAGATTAAACAGGAATGCTCTTATTAGACCACGGGATAGTTGAATAAATAGGTCTACCAGCTTGAAGCTTTATAAACCTACCCACGATAACTCTTAATGATTAATTTCTGCAGAGACTGATGGGTGACTCATCCTGATTAAATTAAATCTGGAGAACTGGTGGAAAAGAAGGCATTTCAAAAAGAAGCAAAGAGGAGAAAAACAGCAAGTGGGAAAGTGTATTTGCACATCGCTTGCCAATGGTGAAGCGTACTGTGAAAACACTGCTTTTAAATAGTCGTCTGAAAAGCGTTTTTCTGTGCAATTCAAACTTTTAGTAATCCTATCCAGAAATTACACACACACCCGTACGCCCTGCTTTGCCAGTTTCCAATCTGCTGAAAGAGAATTTCAAAATTTCTCCCAAAGGGATGTTGGGTTCTTGCACTGACTTAGTGAAGAGGCAGCCAAGGTGTGCGCAAAGCTGTTTCGTTGTACCATTGTTACTTCTGTGGCTTCCCACACATCCGTTCAACCCCGACGGAGGATTATCATGAGGGAACTTTGCCAAACTGAGAAGCGTGGGCAGGAAGGGAGGCTGCAGAAAGGTGTGGAGCAGAAAACACCAACGGCAACACACCTCCCACTCTCAAAATTATCGTAACCTCCAAAGCACCCCCAGAGAAATGCAAAAGAAATTCTCGAAACTTGGGAAGGAGCCACGGAGATGATTTTGGAGAAAGCCGTTAGAAAAACAGCAGGCGCAGAAGCAGCGTGAATTCAAACCCAGCTCAGTTTCCGGATCTGGACTACCTCGCAGGGCGGGCAGCACCCGAGAACAAGGGACAAAACCGGCAGCCTCTTTTGTAGGGGAAGGAAACTGAGAAACCGTACGGCATATTATAGTGTTACTCTGAAATATTCTGTTCATTTTTGTGTACCAAAATACAGAATTCTTTGAGGCTTCAAATCAAGATCCATTTTTGGTTTAGCTGCCAGGCTGCAAAAGCTTTCTGCTTAGCTAAAATCGAGGAACAG